GGGTTTCTGACTATTTAGCAAACTGTCCTTCAGGATCCATGAATTTCAAAAAGTCAACACAGACAAGCCTCATCTAATCTCAGTACCCATCCCTTGTGAAGAATAGCTGGGATAAGTATTCCACAGGTTTATCTATTCCTCAGGACTTATCTCAAGGGATGTAAAAGTTTTCATTAATAGGCTTTTGTTTCATACAATAAAACTAGTTTCTAAAATTCATTTTATTACACTCTACCCCAGACCAAAAGCAAAAGCATCTGTTTTCTCTAGCAAAGTGAAACACCAAGAAACCAAGGTAAAATCCTAAATCTAGAAAAGGCAAAGCAAATCCACTGCCCACTCAGACTGCTCTGTTTTCTCCACACTCAGGACACTTGATTTGCAACATTGTCAAGCTCACTTGCGGATTTTTCAGAATAAAATCTTTCCTTTAGGATGTGGTGGGTGTGGGAGTCTCAGGGGGGGCAGCTCTGCCTGGCTTGAGGTCTCTTTTGTCAGTAGAAGGTCTCTTTTGTCCTCTCATGGCTGCTGAGACTGCACACTGTTTGAAACATCTTGCATTTCTGAGGCTTCAGTTCCATCCCGACAGCCTGGCAAGACCCACCGAGGGATGCTTCAGCTGCACAAAGGTGACACCACGCACTGAGCAAGCAGCCAGGAGGGACAGGCAGTGTGACAGCCTCCACACATCCTCAAACACAGCAACTACATTTTGCAATGCCTGATGCCAGTGCTCTGTACTGCTATAGTGGTTTTGGACCGAGAATTTTCCCCTCTCCTCTGAATTCCCTTCCACTGACTGATATCAGATTCAAGATCCAGCATCAGAAATCAATGCCGCAGGAATGCTACTATGATATCTGAGTATTGAGAAAATAAGAACCTTAAAAACCAATTAATGGCTCACACAGGCTCACAGACACAGCCAGGATTTGACTGGAGGTTCAGTTACTGCTCCTGATGCATTCCTGTACAGCCTCTCTCTTCCTCTCTGCTGGAGAGCAGTCTGTGCAACATTCAGTGTCACACACTATCAATATTGCATGGATCAGTGGTGAAGAGAAGGAAAACTCTTTGTTGGTTCAGCAGAATCACTCAGTTCCCAGCATAATTGCCTCTGAGACTACTTACATATCTGTACTGTCATGGAATAAATGTAACAGACACGGTTCAAACTCATTTTCATCCTCTTTCCCCTGCAGGTTTTTTTGTTCCATATGATCATATCCACTAGAACCACTTGTTCACTTTTTCATCCATAGCTGGACATTTTATTACTTATTCTTAGTTAGCATTTTTCAGCACAGGAACAGGTACCTGCTTTAGATCCACCACAAAGTCTCCATCAATCCATTCATTCTCCCTGGGCCTTTATAAAGCTATCACAGCCTGTAGCTGCATCAGCTTAAAAGCAAGATAAGTCATTCACTGGAGAGCAGCTTCCTACGAATGATTTATTGCACTATTGTCATTTTTGAACAGATGGGCCCAGACTGCATTTATTTTGCCATGATTACAGGAAACATGTCAAGGTACTCAATTTTTTAAAAGCTTTGAACATCTGACAGAAAAGTGCTCTGGGTTTGACACCAAAGAATCAAGAATACGCCAAAAAGAGAGAAATTACACTTCTGTAACTTTCCAATATTTTAACTGAGGAGACCGTGCACACACATTTCTTTGTGTCTTCACCTGAGTCTGCAGTTTTGAGCTAGAGAGAAATACAAACCAACTGCTTTATTTTATTTTTTCTGAAACTGCAGTGCGTAGGGAGGAGGGCTTAGTCTTAGCAAATCTGCAATTTTGACAGTTATGTTGAATAGGCAACTTTTCATTCTTTGTCATTGAACTTATCCTACTATGCAGCCTAAAGACAAACTTCAATATTCTTCTTCATCTAGAGAACAAAGCTGAGCTGTAAGCAATTCCCTGGTGGTCCCAAGTTTCCTACTGGCTTTCATTAGATGTTTGTGATTTTCATTCTGTCCTGCTGTAGTTGTTGCAGTCTTTTTCTGTTCAATATTTTATTTTCCATGCTAGCTGTTAGACAGCCTGTTCTCTTTACTTTTGTATTTTTATATATTCAATAATGCATACATGCATAATTATACATTTAGTATAATTACATTTTGGTTGATTGTGCATGCCACCTTCTTTTCTAATTATCACATACACCAGAGTGTAATTTCTTGTTTCATTCAGACCTGTGAGACACAGAGCAGTACTTAGAGATACAAAGTTCTCAGCTCCCATCATTCTTGACAGCAGCTGCCTTGACATCTGATGAGAGAAGCTGAGACACAGAAAAGTGCTGCAATTTGTCCAAAGGGTGACAGAGGTGGAAACAGAATCAGCATCTCCTGGTTCTTAGTCCAGTTTCCCAGCCCCAAGAGTACACTGGTAAGCAGGTTTTTGTGTGCCCATAATAACTAAACCCCTAGAGTGAAACCCTTAATGCAATTTTAATAACTGAATAAAGTGATTGATAAATTATGAAAGAGTTAAATAGCAGTTAATTTTTTAACTCATCATCAGATTAATAACCTATTGCTTGCATTGAGTTTGAAATATAGTGAAGTGAATCAAGATACAGAGAAAGATAATGTCTGAAAAGGGAATACAGTGAAGCAGTGCTAAAACAACATATTTCTTTAGCACTTCCAAATCCCCATATTCTGTTTCAATAGTAGACCTGGGAAGTAAGAACATGATAAAAGAAAATAATGGAAATAAATAAGCATTATTAACCACCTCTGCAGAGACTGAAAAAATTGAGGCTGGCCAGAGATATCTTTTGAACTCAGCATGGGATTTATTTCTCTCCTTTTTCCACTTACATCCTTACGTCCACTTTCCACTTACGTCCTCCTTACATGCATTCTGTCTTTGTGCCAGTTTGAGAGGTTTTCAAAATAAATTTTAAAAATTGGTGTTTTCTTGCTTCATGTTGTTATTGAGAGGATTCTTACCTTCCTTTTAAACTGAACAGTGCAGTAAATGCCTTCTTTTTCAGCATTTTACATACAAAGGAAGTATACAATTCCAGGGAGAAAGCACTTGAGTGTCTTAGATCAATGCAATGGTTCCTCAGACAGAGACAAAATTTTTCTCACTGCGCTATTTAGCAGTTTGCAAGGTTTGCCACCCACATTTTGCAACATGAGTTTCCAAGCACTGCAGTCTTTTCTCTTGATGCCTACAAATACATTAGTCTTGTACCAGTAGCTCAGATCCTGAGATGTTTCAAGTCTCCAGTCAAACTCTATTGCTCTGGTAGACTCTTGGATCTTTTTTGAATATCTTGTTAAAAAAGCCCAAACCAACAAGCAAACAAAAAACAATCCAAACCAACAAACAACCAAAGTCTTCACATCTGCTGTCTTCCAAGGTGCCAAGACAGTTTGAAGAGTAAGTTACAGTCTCAATTCAGCTGTGCAAAAATTACAATTTTCTTAGAGCCCTTGGGTGAAAATTCATTGTCTTGATGCTTTGTCAATATTAATTTAAGCAACTGGTTCCAAAGCTGTTTCACTGATGTTTTAACTGGAGACAATGGACAAATTTCTCATAAGGAAAGGAATCTTCCAAAGCTCATTTGTCATGAACATTGGCGAAGATAATTCTTCGGCATTTCAGCCTGGGACTCCTATTTTCTGTGCTATCCTCTAGTAATTCACTCATTCATTGACCTATAGACTCAATGGTATCCATTGAATTTCTGGTGCACTTGAAAAAATTCACAAAAAATGCTTTTGGCAATTTGTTCCTCTAATTTGTTGTTTTCAGTCTGCCTTAAAGCTTTTCATTTAATGTGTCTGCTCTTTTACACAGTGTACCCATATTTTTTGCTTTAATAGCCTCCTCTATTCATCTGTTTAATTACAGTATTTTCATGTCCCATCACATTTTCTTATGAGTGTTCAGTATGGTGTCTCCATATTGTTTACACCACCTGGAAGTATTGAAGACTTTGAAATTGACACTTTGAATTTGATTTTTGCATGCTTTCCCTTTAATGACTATTTTCTAGGTATTCTATATTACTTGAAAAGTTGGATTTGTTGTTTTTTTTCTTCAGTATAGCATATATACCTTTTATAACTGCTGTACCAAAGAGCTCTTCTGTAGTGTCTCTGGTGCCAAGTCTTGGTGCCTTTTTCAGGAATACTATTTCCCATTTTGAGAAAAGAAACAGCCAAAGAAAAAAATCCTTCAAAATAGTAGGTGTTCATGTTTCAAAAAATAAAAAAAGGTTCCCACCACATAGGTTCCCCATGAATCTTTCCTGAAAGTATTTACACAATGTTTGGAGGAAAATACTGAATATGACATAAGTCACAGTAAAATCACAGAATTTGCTTTTGAGCAGAAATGCTGAGAAGCTCTTTGATAACACAATTGGTGGGGTCTGCAGGTGCTTCTAGGGCTGTTTTCTAGAAAATGATGTCAAGAGAAGATAACTTTGCAGTCTTTAAATATAGGGTTTTGTTGCTGTTCCTTGAAACCACTCATGAGGCTCTGATAACACGAAAGTAATAAGAGGAACACTGAAAGTACTCTCATTTAATTTCTTCTCTTTTATTGATGAAGTTTACTGATAATTTGGTAGGACAACAGAGGGGAGTAGCTGTTGTGTGCCCAGACAACAGCTTTCATCAGCCTCCAGCTGCCTGGAGGTTTTACCAAGTTACAGTCTGAGCAGAGGTGCTGAAGCCACAGAAAACACTCTCCACTGCTGGCTCTTTACGTAGGTAAAGAGGTAGGCTGTAAGGGGAGCAGGACTTGTCCAAGACCTAATTGCTCATATTTAGGGGGAAGCAATCATGAGTGTTTATGGTAAATGGCAGCTATAAAACTCAAGAAGTTGATAGAGGTGAAATGGTGCAGGAATCTGTTCTATACCCAGGAGTACGTGGCTATCCACAGGGCAGGCAGCAGCTGTCCTTCCGATACAGCTACCTGTGCATGACAGCTCTATCAATGTTTTTAACCTCTGGCAGATTAAGAAGACAGCAGGATCAAAGTGGCCAGACTTCCAGCATTGACAGCAGAGCATCTCTTCAGAGCCACGAGAAGCTCCAAGACGGGCGGAACAACAATTTGCTGGGACACGGCTGCACGCGAGGCTGCAGCAGTTAGTGAGCCACACCGCCAGGGCCGCGGGGGCTCCGCTCTGCGCACCCCTTCTTCTGCACCCAACCCTCAAAAACAGGATCCCTGGCCAAGGACAAACCCACACAACACTGGCTGAGATTTTCCATGTACAACTCTGCTCTCCTCTTGACTCTGCCACTGGAAAAATGACCATCAGCAGCAAAACACAGTTTTTTTAAGTAAGTGTAACTTTTGTTTTCAAAATCCTGGAAGAAAACTTGAAACAATTCATTAGGCAGCCTCTCAGAGATTGCTACATTCCTGGATATTTGCAAGAGACAACGTTGTACTGGGGCCTGTGTTATCTTGAAGGCTTTATCATTACCCCCAATTTCTCTGTTAATTGAAATGGTCCAGTTTGAAATTTCGTGAAACTGCTGGACACAGCTGTTTCTAAGCACCTACTATTGAATTTATAACAGATGTACATGATGTAAATACAAAAATGTAGTGTCAAATAGGCCAAACACGGAATAATTTCATTTAAATACCTGAAACTCTTTGAAAAAGTTGCAGTGTGAGTGTATTTACTTTGTTCTTTAACATTATGTGTTCTGCTCTGTAGTAAAAGATGTCACCATGGCCAAGTCAAAGTTTTGCTAGTGACATTAGTGGATGCGGGATCAGACACATTAGTTATGTATGGTAACCATGGCAAGGAAAGACCTTTTTATTTGTAACAATAGAGTGACTGAGCCAGAGCTGAAAAGCAGCTTAGTAAGGAGAGCTAAAAATATTAAGAATTTGCTCATATCCATAGCTAGGTCTTATAAAATGTTAAAAAGTTACGTGTCTCTGTTTTCATGGCTCTATCTTGGATAAAAATATCTTGAATAGAAAGAAACCTACTTTATTCAAAATATTCCTGACATTAAATCCTTTTCTTTTAAACAGCAGACAAAATTTCAAACATTTATGGTATTTTCCAACTTGTACATCCACATTTTGATAATAAATGCATGTTTATTCTGTCCGATTGTGCTTTTGTTTTGAAGGGTTACCACCTGCAAGCAAATTCCATTTCAACTTTTTGAAACAAATAGGTTAGGTTTCTGGAAGTGAAAGAGATTTTCTTTGAAATAATCTATTTTTGCTGCATCATTTCCATTCTATCTTTTAGAAAGCAAAGTTCTTTGTAATTTAATCTATTGTAAATTTTGTTTCATGTTATGTGTAGTTTTGGTCACAGTTTTTTTTCAAATACAGATTTTTATCACTCCATAAAATGATATGGTGTTCCATATCACCAAAAACAAACAGTTTACAAATGTACAAAGGTAAAGATTTTATGTCTGTCATAAGCATGGTGTTGGTCTATTTGCTTAATTTGGTTATAGACTGAAGCAATCATAAGATCAATCAAAGAAGCAAAATTTTTCTGGTCATAAGAGAACAGATTTCATTGCCCAGAATAAACTATTACACATCCATCCTTTCTTTATTTTTTTTTTTTTTTTTTTTTTTTTTTTTTTTTATTTCTTGATATTAATTTCCCTTGGGAAGGACCAAAGTAGATAAGATTTCACATTATTTCTGCGAACACCTATTGTTCTGTTTCAATCAAATTTAATGATGATCTTGGACCTTAATCTGGATCTGAAAGAAATTTTTTTCTTTATTTGAGTAATCCTACAGCAATTAAAGTTACTAGGTAAATATTATAAGTAAATAATTGCAGGATCCATGATGTCTCAGATGATATAGACTAGAGACATGGAGTTTTATAAGGAGAACTAGTAATTCGTGGAGAATTTCCACATAAAATTTTCTAACTGGAAAAACATGGGGGGAAAGGGCAATTGCACATTTGATTCTTTTTCTGTGATTACAGTTATTTTGAGCAAGGAGAGTTACTCTGGGTGATTTTGTACATCAACCACATAGGTGCTAGCACTTTAACTGAGGCTGGGAAGGCATTTTTGAAATAAATGTCCCAGCCTTACAACCCTACTGCATTTTGGTACATATTTTAGCACCCAAATCATATGCTTTTTGGATGATAGAAAACCAGAAACTGTGTTCCAAGAGAACACTTATTGCCATCTGCGCAGCCTTGAGCCTGTAGACCACAGGAACAGGTGAGAGAAAATCTGAGATGGAACTTCACCAAATGCGGCTCATGTGAATGTCAGGTCAGCAGAGCCTCTCCTGTCCAAGAAGCTTGGAAGCTTATAGAATGAGAAGTGGGTAGAATGAAAGATCTACACAGTGCAAGATCATCAATGACTACATTAAAATTTGGAGGAGTTTGCTGCAGATAGAATCCAGACACTTGCAGTCTGATCTGTCTGTTGCTGGGCATCTTTGCCAGTGCTTTCCTAAGCTGTTTTTGAGAGGATCCTGGTTATTCAATAGATTGCATCTACTTAAATATATTTGCACAGAGTATAGTGCATGGATACAAGCTCAGTCAGACACTTTAATTTCACGCTTGTTGCCACACGATCATTTCTCAAACTGTACTGCTTGCAAAAAAAATGGAATCATGGCACCAATCAGCTTTATCCATAGTCCATGGCACTTCCACTGACTGCAAGCTGTACCTTATGCTGCATATCTGTGTCAACTTATTACACAGATCAGTGAATGCCCTCAGCCATACCATGGAGACCCAATGTTGGATCAAAGAATCATGGAGTGGTTGGGGTTAGAATAGACATTTAAAGGTCATCCAGTCCAGCTCCCCTGCAGTCAGTAGGGACACCTTCAACTAGATCAGGCTGGTCAGAGCCCCATCCAATATGACTCTAAAAGCTTCTAGGGATGGACCCTCATCTCTCTGGAACATATAATTTCATCTTTTCTACACTCTAATTTCATCTTTTCTTTTGACCAACGTAGTTGTAAGGAGCTGTCTTGCCATGGGAACTTCTGATAATGGCTCAGAAGAAAATGAAGAAGGGGTATTTTTAATAGAATTTTTGGGGATAGAACGCTTACAACCAGAAAAATCACAAAACCTGGGGACACACCTGAGAAATGATTGGTTGGAACTTGTCTCTTGTCACCCTGAAAACTCAGCTTCTGAGCTTGCTGACATAGTTTTCTAAGGACTTTCCCAGGACAGTAACTGTAAACATAGATATGTGTACATTCTTTCTGATACACATCTTGTGATGGGCATCTCTCATGGCCAGTGCAGGGGGAAAGTGTTACCCTGACCATCCAATCCCTGGCTGTGGTCAGAAACCTAAAAATCCTGGGAGGAAAAATAAACTTCTTCCTTTCACCACACCTCGAGCAGTGTCCCTGTGATCTATTCATCTTCAGTGGTAACAGTCTCTGCTAGTTTAGACATAAGAAAAATGAATTAGCCAGATCCAGATTCAAAAATAGAGATGAAAAAGGGAAAAAAATGCTTTTAGGATGTGGTGCATTTTCCCTGTCTTGATTGTCTGTTTTAGCAGATGTTTCTCCCTGTAGCTCTGCCTCTGTGGAGTACAACATCAGTGCACAGAGCTCAGATGTGGACATGCACATTGTGCATTGACATTTAGTCAGATAAATCTGGTTTGTGATGACACAGACAATTTGTCAAGTTGCAGTCTAATCTTTATGAAAAAATTAGATCCTTTCTGTTCCATTCAATGGGAGTAAGAGATGTCAAACAGTTTCCATCCTTAAGTGCATAAGTGGTATCAGAGAGACAAGAAAATACACAAACATACACTTGTCTTGCATTCCAACAGAAATGAATACAGGAAAGTCCTAAATAAGACATAGAAGGTGTTTGCAACACACTCAGTGAGATGGAGGACAAAAAGAAAACAGGGCAGTCATAAAACCAGAAGAAACTCCTTGAGTCTCATTTATTCTATACAACTTTATTGTCTTGCCAAACCAGCGGTCGTGACTCCCAAAGTCTCACCTGGTTTTCCAATTCATTTAGAAGATAAAAATATTTTTTCTCATTTCTGTTCCAGGGAAGAGAGAAAAAAGTCTAGCACAGCTGGAAAAGCAGTTTGCTGCAACCACAGTTTATTGCAATGCCTCTTGCTCTGTGGTGTTGCAGTTCTGATCCCACATACCCATTCCCACAGCCTCACTCCAAGTTAAACTCTGCCAGATTTACCTTCTGTTCACTTTGCTCCTTCTACATTGTGTATCAAATATTGGCACAGCACTGTAAATGTTTAATTACCAACTGTCATAGAGTACAAATGGCTCCTTTCATCTGTAGCCTTGACAAAAATGATTAATGTAATATTTCCAGAAGATTTTCCTGTAGATCTGGGGGAATTGGAGGGTTGGTTGTAAGTCTTGGCGCATTATTTAAAATGACAGCTAAATACATTATAGAGGAAATAATAGGCACTGATCCATCCATTCCAGTCATTTAGATGTTTTCTACTTGCAGGAACACATGATCACAATTTCAAAATTATTTCTGACTGTTTAAACTAAACCTAAATATTGCTGCAATGGGGTGTACTGAGAAGCTGAAGTAGGCTGAATCAGACCCAAAGAATTTTTCTGTTTTCCACATGGAGAGGTATGCCAAAACTTTTGCTATGAAAAACATGGCTGCCAGCATAGGAGAAGCTTAGTGGTTTAGGACAGCTACATTTACATTTTGGGTGGGAGCTGGAAAGCAAAGAGATATTGAAAGTGTATTAATAAAAAGCTACAGGTTTAAAAGGCTACTTCTGGTAGCCTCACTGCTCTAGCACCTGCCCCAAGAGAAGAGCTGGAACTGACCACTGCCCTGCAAGTAATCTCCTTTATTTATATATTTGACCCAAATTTCATCCATGAAAAAGTGAGTCCATCTGTGCTGATTCTGATTAAGAAGCAAAGGAAGGAATGACCCCCTGTCAGCAATGCTGGGCTGCTCAGGCTCTGCCTTCTAGTGCAGCAAAAGGGACAACAGCTTACATCCCCTGCAGCAGCTGAAGTCATCAGTCCTGATGGGGAAAGCAGGAATTACTTTTTCTTACAAATCCATTGAAGTTCAGTCCCTTAGCATACTCTACCAACACACCCTGTGATAAATTTTGAATGAGAGATAATGTAAAGCTATTAGAGATCTTTCTGCTGCCACACAAAAACTTCCATGACTGGTGTGATTTTTAAAGAGGAGCTTTGTGGTTCTTGTTCTGGAGAGCATACTAGTAGCTAAATGACTAATTTCTTATGCACATTGTGTTTCATCATCTCAGCTTTCATCAGAGTAGTTACTTTTGTTTATCTGTATTTTAGTGATTGAATCAGCTATGCTCTGGCCAGCAGGGAAAAATGTTTTGGTTTTTTTAGCCTTCATTTAGCAATGCAAATGAGCTTCCTATAATCATGTTTGTGAGAAAACACACGCTACAATCGAGACCTCAATAATGACTGATATTAGCTATGCTCTATACATCAATGAAATTGGCTCACAGTCACAAACTCCCTTTTTTGTCCTTTTTAATTGGAAAGGAGCAATGTATCTAATCAATTAAACCATTTTTTTTTACAAAATTGCCCAACTGTCCTCATGAGTCCTTCCAAAGAATTAAAATTATAATATAGGACAGAGAGCTCTGCTGTTCAATGTTTGTGGGTTTCTTTAAGTTCATTATAAACAACAAAGCAGGCATATAAAAACTACTGTAACTTTCTATATCCATTAAGAGAAACACAACTGAGAACAATCATAAAGTTCAAGTCCTAAAATGTATGCCCAAGAATACAGAGTTATGTAAAACCAGTGCCCTTTAAATGGAATTAGACTTAGCCAAAGACATTTTCATGGACAAACTATGTTGGAACTAGTGCTCTTGAGAATTTTTTGTTTCTTACTATCCATTATTTTGATATGTGCTATAATACAGCCCTGGAATTTTCCCACAGTGATAATTTTGTACTTGAAAAATCCCTCTTGGAAGAGTACTATACAATTTAATTAGGACTTTTCTACACAGTTTTGTAGTGACTATAATATTCTCCAGCCTCTGTGCAAAAGTATTGAGGCAATTTTGTTGTGTTTAATTAGTAATGAGAGAATGCTCTAAGTCTGCTCTAAGTCCTGTGTCCTATCATGGTAAATTCTATATCCACACATTAAGGTGAGTCAGACACTACTGCAATGAATTTACAATTTGAGCTAGCTTTGTAAGATATACCTTGGAACCAGGG